CTCGCTTTGAAGAATGCTGCTAAATCGATGAGATATGCGTTCAACCTCACACATATGTCTTCAACAATGGGACCCGACGCCATAATCGTACAATCATCTGCATACGTAACGATTTCTATGCCGTCCGGAGGGCGTGGAATACCGGAAAGGTAGAGATTAAACAGTTCCGGAGAAATCACTCCACCTTGGGGAACTCCCTGTTTAACTCTACGGGGTTTGGACTTCTTGTTCCGGAACTCCACGTACGACTGGCGTCCACACATATAGTTGATTATCCAACGTTTCAAACTCGGCCGGAGGGAAGTGTTCTCAATGTCCTCAAAGAGCGTGGCATGGCTGACAGTATCAAAGGCTTTTGATAGGTCAAGCGCTACCAACACTGTTCTATCGCACGGCCGGTTCTGGTTAAGTCCTCTACTTATATGCGTGGAAATGGCGTGCAACGCTGTTGTTGTACTATGTTGCTTACGGAATCCATGTTGATGATCCGCAACTGGATAGCTTTCTCTAATGCTGGGGAGGAGTAAAGCCTCAAGGGTCTTCGCTACTGGCGACAAAAGTGAAATCGGCCTGTACGATTCACCTTTGCTGGCATCCTTGCCCGGCTTCAGTAGCGGGACCACCCTGCCCATAGTCCAGGCTTCGGGGACGACGTGGGTGGCTATCGACAAGTTGAGGACGTTGGTCAAGTACTCGACTCCCGGCTCGTCCAGCTGCTTCAGCATACACATAGATATTCCATCTGGGCCCAACGCTTTAGATGACTTCGCGTTACGGATGACATATGCAACATCACCCATCGTAAACTGTGGTGGTACCTCCTCGGCTGGAAGAGATCTTATACGACGAAGTACTCTTCTCTTCGCCCTGTCGCTCTCGGGATGCTCGACAAACTGTCGGTTAAAATGACTTGCGCATCTCTTCGGATCAGTCACAGTTTCGTCGTTAAATGTGACTGAGGTCCTATCATCCTTTTTACCAGGGTTCGAGAGCGACTTAACCGTTGCCCACAGTTTACTTACTCCGGTACCAATGTTGCAACTCTTCAGGTGCTCCAACCATCTATTCCGCTTGTGCTCCGCGACTAATCTGCTGACCTCCAACGTGAGTTCCCTGACCCTGGGATCTGCTGGGTTAGATCGACGGAGCTCATCACGCTCGTTTGCCAGACCAACTGCTTCTGCTGGGAAATTGGGTCTCATCTCGGGTATTCGACCAGCAGGTATAAATCTAGCAGCTGCAGCAGTGATGATGCCTCGGAATTTCCTTTCTGCTACCCGTACATCAGAAGGAATGGAAAGTTCTCTGAAGCGTTGGTTGGTGAACTCTCTGAAACCTTGCCAGTTAGCTTTCCTATGGTTAAGGAAAGTGCGGCGTTCAGAGATGACGAAATCGGGCGGTCTGCTGATGGAGACGATTATGGGGAGATGGTCTGATCCAAGAGAAATGACGGGCTGCCAGCTGACGTCATTTATCAGACCCGGTGACACAATGGTTATGTCTGGCGAACTGTGACACTCTCCCCTTATTCTGGTGGGGGCATCCTCATTTACCGTGCAAAACGTGGAGCTATCAATTTGCTCTGCCAGCACTGATCCCCTCTGATCATTACCTAGGACGGAATGCCACAACTCATGGTGGGCATTGAAGTCCCCTAGCACCAGGCGGTTATTGCCCTCCAATAGAAAACTAATGTTGGGCAAATAACGCGGTTCACAGCTGTTAATCGGCGGTATATACACGTTAAGCACCTCTACCTCGGCAGTACCACATTTAACTGCTACCCCCATACATTCCATGTATGGGTCACTAGAGTCAAGCTCAAGCGAGATAGGCCTGTATTGAACAGAGTGGTGCATAAGGAATGCTAGGCCTCCACCTCCACTTCTGGTGCGATCCTTCCTCAGAACGTTGTAACCATCACAACGCTGTAGGCTACAATTTTCATTGAGCTTGGTTTCCTGCACCGCCGCGACCAAAATATTCTTCCGATTCATGAAATCCACTATCTCATATATTTTTCCTCGGAGACCGTTGCAATTAAATTGCAGAAACGATGCACTATCAGGGGTGGGAACAGCAACGTGCGGTGTTAAGTGCTGCATACTTGATTGCTGTTCAGGAGACTGCGGTGGAGTTCCGTACTCCGACGAAGAAGACGACGACGTAGACGAAGACTCACTGGGGATTGCGCTGTCGCAGCACGAGGCAACGTAATCCCTATCGCTGTAATCTCGTAACCGGGCCAACCCGGAACAATTCCTGAAGTGCACCCACTCCCTGCACCCATTACATTACATATATATGTTTGATAGTTTTTGTAGTAAGATTTGGCAGCCAATGAGAATACAAAGTACCAAATTACAGCCAATTCGGCTGAAAAACTTGTCTAAAATTCTCAAAATATCAACTTGGGTCAATATTAAAAAGTTTTAGTGCGGTGATACCGTTATGAGAACCCAAAATATAAAATTACATCCAATTTAATCGAAAAACGTGTAAAAATCCCCATTTTGGCAGGTACAATATAAAGCCGGGTATGCCTTAATCGATATAGAATTTTATTTCCCGTATTTATTGGGTTATTGGTGTTCGGGTTACAAAGGCGGCATCAAAAAAACAGAGAGCGGAGCAGTATAGTCGGACAGGGCCGACCTACACACCTACCACGGAACTCTGCGGATTTTTATTCCGAGCCTAGGCAACATTTCGTGATAGTTGCACCCTCTTGCTCGATTAGAGGTATACAGCATCTCTTCCTTACACTGACATATTTTCCGAATATTACTAATATTCAATACAGTCCTTCTAATTACTTGTCTATATTCTCTTCAACCTGGGTTGTGTGTAATGTTCGAAAAAATCCAAAAAAGTTTAGTTTTTGGTCCACTTCATCCCAAAATTATTATCGGAAATTATATATTATCACCGAAAATTATAGGCGTTGTCCTTGGCCATAACTGGGACCTCATGGAACATTTCAAAGCGATCAGCGCTATATTTCCGCCCTCTAGTGTGGTAATGGTTTACTAAATAATATCTGAATATGTAAGCACCTGCAAATATTTAATTGGTATCAATTTAAAGGCCAACCACTCTTCTTGGATATACTATCAACTCATCGGCTCTATGTCATTCAAGAGTAAATATATACGCCATACAATACAATTTTTTTCATTTTTCACACAAAAGTCAGGGTCCATTTGACCCTCTAAATATTGACCGATCAAAAACAATAGGGGTATTCATTGGGCCGAACCCATCCTACATGCAAAATTTCGTGAAGATTGGTCCATAACTGTGGCCTGTATGGTGTTTACAAATTATAATGGACAGACGGACGGACAGCTAGTCGAGATATGACGATCGGTATAATTAAAGGTGGGTCTAAGACCAATATTTCGCGGCTTTACAAACTCTTGTAGGGTATAAAAACATGACGATCCGTACACTAAAATGAGCGTCCAGGACCAATATTTCGTGACGTTACAAGCTGTTGTAACACAAACACTCATAACATCCCCACCAAATATAAAATATAATCAAATTTCTTTATATTCATTTTTAGCACTATTTTCTGGCACTTTTCTAAAATTTTTAGCACTTTTTAGCATATTTTTCAACAAAATCTAGCACTTTTTCTCAATCAAGTTTTGGCAACAATGTTCATAGTACATTCTTAGAAATGCATAAATCCATATTAAGTTATATTGTGTAGCTAAATTAATGTTTATTTATTTTAACTTTAAAATTTAATATGGTTTCGGATTGATCCGCTAACGATGTAGCGGATACTTAACAATTAGTAGGGGAGAGGGGGCACCTTTGAACAATTTTTTCTTTTAAGCCTCATAAATTTTTTTATTTTATAATATATGGTTTCTTATAAGTTGTAACAAATAGATATATATGTAACCTTTAAAAGGTATATACAGATGACATACTTTAAACTTGATATACATATTTTATTACTGTTTTAATTGGCGAAGTCAAAGTGCTCATTGGGCCACAAAGGATTAAAGCTTGATATGATCGATATTAAATCAGTGGTGACTGAAACCATTTTCACATTTTATTAAAATTACATGTTTATTTTTCCATAAACAAACGTCCACAAATGTTAGCAAAAACATAATATTAACTCCGAAATGCCAAATTACTCTCAACTCGGTTGGTTCAAAGGACTTTTAATTTGTTTTCGTTACCGCTAAATGTGTATACGGAACGCACGATATGACGGTGTTGCATAACGTTACATGAATGTTACACAAAATGAGCACGACAATATTATGCAACAATCTACGTTTCCTTTGATGAGGATCAGACTAGCCAGATTTCAACATGGCGACGCCAAGTTTATATGGCTGGGTATGAAATAGTGAAACCCGTGCACACGGTTTGCTTTGTTTCCTCAGCAACACAAAATCATCAACATGGAAAAGTCTAGATCTCACATTAACGTGTGTGAACTAGGGAACATGGAAAAGTCTAGATCCCACATTAACGTGTGTAAACTAGGGCTATAAATGTTTGACATTTTTTCTCATAAACAATTTAAAATTAAGATAATGGGAATCGAACTTGAAAAAAAGGCATTACCCTTGTGTGGACGCCAACGAATCTTCTAAAGAATCTTTAACGAAATATGTTTCAAGAAACCCTACTAGTCTGATCATCAACTTTAATTGCTTATAGAATATTAAGAAATTGCACATGCTCTGTTCCAAGAATCCTCGCAAGAATCTTCTATTAATAAAAAAGTTTATCGATTTCCCATTATAAATTTGAAAAGTTGTACCACTTTTTGAACAAGGGAATAGACCAATGGTGTTATATAAAACTAAGATCATCTAAGCCCAAAATTGTTTCACAAATAGTAAATTTGCATTGTGCTGGTTTAAGATTGCATATACGCCAAATAAATCCTCATGGAAGAGGTTAACCATGCAAAAAGTCTAAATTTAAATGCCGTTTACTAAAGATATATTATTATTATTTAGAGTTATCCAGCTACAACAGGCATTGCTGCGTACAACCCAATTAAATTGGACTTGGGAGGAGTTGTTTTAGGCACACTTGTGGGAATTGGTGCCATTATAATAATACCAAAGCTGTTAAGTGCTTTTCATGGTGGCTATGCCGGATATGGGCGAAGTAAGTAACAATGACTTATGTACTAATACATAAACTCATAAAATACATTTCCAGGTGAAAATGAGAACGATGCTTCCCAAATAACCAACTTCGTAAATAAGATAGACGACATATTGCGCCAACACAATATTGACTCCACTAGTTGTATGCAACGAGCTGTGTGTAGTTACGTGCGATCCACAGAATTCAGCATGCAGAAAGGATTGGGCGATCAAATGGACGAATTTGTTCACATTTTAACCGAGTAAGATTTTTACCTATATATGTAATGTAAATTGGAAAACCCAAGTTTTAAGCTGGGAGGTATCTAAGAGTCCCAAAATCTGAGAAAATGCTTGAAATATGTCAATGCCGCCTTGATAAATGTTTTCCTAATTAGTGACAACAAACATCAAACTTGGTTTTTAATAAATAATTGCAATGTTGAAAATGTAATAGTAGAAAATGTAGCTCTGATTGCAAAAGTGTGATTTTAAAATTTTTTACCACAACGTTTTTGACAATAGTCGAACGTTTTTGCACAATAGTCGAACACTTCGTTTTTCTCGAATATAAAGAAGTTATGTGGCTGCAATTACAATCGGCGATTTTTAATTTTTATTCATTTTTGAAGCCGATTATTTTAAATAAAAATATTCAATGTCGGGTAATGTGGACGGTACCCTTAAATGGGGGCTATTCCAAAACATTAACCCATATATTTTTGCATTCATTTTTACCCAAGAGTGCAATAAATGGAAATCTATCATAACCAATGCACAACCTACCTTTATTCGTAGGTTTGGGTTTTTTGAAATATAATGCAATTACATTTTTATAGCCAAATATAAATAATATTTGACCTGGAATATATTTAGCCAACAAATCTACTATGCTGTGAAAACAATTTGTTTTTATTTCTTACCGTTGTTACGCCCACAATATCAAAAAAAAAATGGTGTTCCACATTACCCGAAGTTACTCTATATTCAAGGGAAATAGTAGAAATCAATAAATATTTCCTAAAACGAATAAATATTAGAAGGAACAACTCAAAAGTTGAGAATTCACCTGGAAGAACGATACGAGCATGTATCGCATTAATAAAGATCAGTATATTTTTGTAGATGTGTGAAAATATCGGTTTATAATGAAATCTAAATATCAAATCGAATGTTTGCGTAGTACAAAATATTGTTTATTAAAGAAAATATATCAGTCACGACAAATTGAGAATAGAATTTTAAATCATGTTAAAATTATAATCTACTTAAAACAGGCAAAGTAATTTCGTTATGGCTTTTGAATTAGGGAAACTTTTTTAATTATTTTTTCCCCAACACCTCAGCAAATTTTTATAGCCCTAACCAATATGAGCCCATCAGGCGGCGAGTAGAATTCAGCAACCACGTTGGTTGCATCGTAATTGGAACACATTTTTTGTCGATGGAGAACGACGGATTTTTATAAACAGCAATTGACACATATGTTGCTCATGTGTAGAGGTATAATCATATTAAATATAATTTATATAGGTTCATGTTTTGATATAGCCCCCAATATAACTCTACATCGGATTTAAGGTAATACAATGATTATAACACTGCTTTTTGTTGAAAAGTAATCTGTGCGTAAACCGTAATACAATAATTTATGAATGTAAATGTGCTTTAATAAAAAAGCCAAATTAAAATTTAGGAGAAGCTTTCTCGGAGTGTTTATTTTGTAATAAAAAAGTCCGAATAATGATTAAGACCAGGTTTATTGTATTATATTAATGGGAAAAATCACATCTAAAGATTGAGAAGTTTTTTTTTTTTTGATTTTTTATTAGATCAAATAAGCCTACTAAATTTTTGTTTGATATGAAATTTTATAACCATTTCTTATGTACTTATCTATAAAGCAAATATCAAAAACCCTTAATAAATAACGACACTAGTAAATGTTTTCGTAGTACTTGGACGGAAATTTAGTGTAACATCTATATAGTGGAATATTTAAACATACACTGCGTATCATAGCTATAGACGCACCTCTGATTCGGTTGGTATTTTAGTTGACGAATAAAATGGACCCATTAAGTTATTGTACACAATAAAAAATGATTTACTCTTTATGGTTTTTACAAAATTATATAAATTTATTTAAAAAAAAATAACTTTAATCAATAATGGGTAGTGCGTACCTTATTTCAATAGTTTCACCATATGCATATTGTTATTTTCCAGAATATATAACATTTTTACATATTATGAAATAGTCCTGATAAAAAATTCTGAACTTTTTTGAGAGGAATATTTTGAAATTATTTATGATTTTCAGTAAAGCATATCTTATTTTCATATTCTCTGTTGTCAAAAACCCAATGGGTTTCCGGCATTTCTGACCTATTATACGTCGAAAATGTATGTCATTTACAGCACTCTGACGGACCCACTGCTATATTTATTCTCGGATTTCTGACCCAATAATTGACAAATGTAATAAAAAAATCCATGTGATTCAATCATTATAGCTAAATACAAAATTCGTGAAAATGCAAACATGCTTCACAATATATTTTTGGAAATTTTTCGTAGATTTTCACGACTTTTTTTTAGATATTATCCTACCCAGACCATATAGCTTTCTCAATTCGCACGAATTACCAAAATCTCTGTTTTTGAGTTATAAGTGTCGTAACTAATGACTTTTCCTTTTATATAAAGAGTGTATTGTTGAACGTTTTTTATTCGAATAAAATTATTTTCGTTAAATTTATATGCATTTTCATTTAATTTTAGGAATTCTCTTACGGATTATATGTTGGATGGAACGGCAATCAAAGAAGCACTTGATCAAGGAAGAAACTTAAACGCAAAGCCTTGCGGACACATTTACTCAAACTGCCCGGTGAATTCGGAAACAATGATAAAAATGTTAAATAAGTTTCTACCAATGCCAACAAATTCTCAAAAAACGACATTCAATTGAAATATTTGTAACGTCGGAAGTTTTATTTTGTATAAACATAAAATATCCAATAATTAAGCTATAAATCTAAATTTTAATATACATAATTTTTATGTAACAAGCTTGGAAATAAATGGTCTGTTCCCGTACTGCAAGAATATACTCGATTTTACTATTTTCTTCGATATTATAAAGGAAAATTCGTTATCGTAGCAAAAGTAGTAGGTTCTTGCAGTACGGAAACAGACCAAAAATTAGTAAACAGTGAAATTTACGAATTGATTGCCATGCTATCCCATGGTGCAGGTATGGTTCGTGGGCCGGTGAACTAATTTTTGGCTAAAATATCATAATTTTTCGTTCAGTGTATGAAAATAAAGAGGACAATTTGGATTTTTTATTTTCAAATCTTTTTCTTTTTCTGATTGTGTGTGTAAGAAATATGATACACGCCGACAGCCCATGGGCACTGCTGATCTCTATGGATCCATACACTTATAGAAAAAACACAAATGTTGTAAAGTGCATTTTACCACATTTTAATATTCTAGTAGTTCTAGCAATTTTGTGTAGATGTAGACCTACATTTTCGATATTAAGCTGATATTCGAAATGTAGAATAATAAAAATCCTTTATTGGACACCCGTAGTTATTTCTCAGTCAAAAATGTGAGTTTCCCAAACTCTAAATAGGGAACCATATGTCCTTCAATAATTTACCTAAAATTACATCTTTGGTATCTACCATAAATGTTAATGTTTATTGAAAAAGAGTCATTTTACATGCACATAAACATTATATGGACTATAAACATTAAAATTAATGCAAAGTACCAAGGTGTATTTAATAAGGTGCACGCATGAATTACAACAACTAATTACATTACAAAAACAACATTATTGTTATAGAAAATAAATTGTCAATGCCTAATGTTGAATATTAGGGTTGGTCATAAATTTTTTTCTGTTGAAATCACGATGGAGATATTGCTAGTGCTCCTAGAATGTTTGGTATTGCAAATGGGATATATAGGTCCACGTTTTGATGTACCCCCAATATAACGGTACCCCCAACATTCGTTATTTTTGGGATTTTGGACACATTTTTCAATGAAATTGGCTGTAATTTTTAATATTGGGTTCTCTCTTTGTATTTAAAATTATTAATATTGTACCAAGTTTGAGTGAAACCCGCATATATACTGACTGAAGAAAGTATATTTTTTTGGTGTGAGGAAATATCGGTCTATAATGACATCAAATCGATTGTTTGGGTAGTACAAAATATATTTTATTAATAAAAATAAATCAGTTACGACAAATTGAGAAATGGGTATTTTGTTGAATACAGCCTCGGAGCACACAGCAAAGATTTTAATGATTGAAATATTTGTCAAACTGTAAAAATAGTTTCTCCTAAATTAGATTAAATGGACATTATTCTATATAGAAAAGTTAATTTTAAATGGACAGCATAATAAATGGACTTATTTTCGAATGTTCAATAATAAAGATAATTATTGGAGGCCCTAAGGTACCTCCCAGGTCAAAAACATGGGTTTTCCAAACTCGGAAAAAATATAGTCTTAACCCTTTTGTCAGTGCCAAAAAAAAAATTGTCTAAAATTTTGTATTTAAGATAATATAACCCTCGGCCATGTTCGTCTGTCTTTTATCAAAAACAAAAACATTAATAGTAACGGTACATACGATAATCGAAAAATCGCAAAGAAAGAGAGTACTTTTAAATGTCGAATATATTCGACAAAAACACTGAAAGGGTTAATAATGTACCTAAAATTACATCTTTGGTCCTATTATAAATTTTTATATTTTGGGGATTATGGGCCCGTTTCCATTCGAATTGACTGTAATTTCATCGAAGTTTACTAGGACTTTTAAAATCTGTTAAATTACAAAAATATTGACATCACGCATTTCTAATTTTTCCATTGTAAAAAATTGCGGATGCATCTTTTTTGAACACTTGTTTCTATCGATCAGATCGAAACAAAATTTAACATGTGTTCATAACGGAAATGGATGTTTCCAAAACACCTAACTTTTATGCCCTCGTAGTTGTTGGGCATGTGTTTTGCAAATTTTGTTTGTTTAAACAAATGCAAATTTTGTTTGTTTAAATAATATTCAAATTAAATTTAATTAAAAAATAAAATAAACACTAAACCATAATTCATGTATATGATCTAACTTTACTTTGTTTGGTCAACATTTCTGTCACATTTATTTATTCTGCCTCTATTAAATACATTTCATAAAATTTCTTTTTTGTAATAATTTATAGATAAATACATATATACACAATTACAAACGAATTAACCATGATCTACACATGTGACGAAAAATGACACAAAATATGTGGCAACACTATACAAATGTAACAAGTGGAAAAGCGTTAAGTTCGGCTGGGCCGAACTTTGGATGCCCCTAGGTATACTGACAGATACTGGAAATGAAAATATTGGGAACATACCAAAAAGTGAACCTATACCGATAATTCTACAAACCGGTTTATGTAAACCATTAGGTACACCAAATACAAATTTCAGCAATTTTTAATGTAAACCCCAAAGCATGGCAGAACTTAACGCTTTTTCAATTGTTTTAATTTGAGTATAGTATTCAACGTCTAAAAAATCAGCTGTGGAGGTTTGCGGCCCTGAGAGTCATTTATATTTTTTAGCGACGACCTTATTACAAAATACAACATATTCGTAAATTGTAGAAGTTAAGGAATTTAGTCCTGATTTATATTAGGCGAGTTTACTTGCGGCAATTTTTATCGTTCTCTTTTGAACTTGCTCCATGCGTCTATACAAGGCAATTCGGTTTCCAAAATATTTTTTTATTTGTTGTTTTTCACATTTAAATATATATAAAATGTCAAAGACTTGCCGCAAGTAAACTCGGCTAATCTAAATTGGGACTAATATGCTATGTCTACCATTAATGAAATTATTGAGGGCCAAATAGGAAGTAGAACGAATCCAGAACTTTGTAATATTACAATATTTTACATCGAATAAAATATTACTTTTACATGGTTGCATTTGAGTTAAATTTGTTCAGTTTGATGATTATACTTATTTAACGCATTATTAGTTATACAGTATTTTTCGGTTAATTGACCCTACGGTTAATTGGTTTCCACGCTTAATTGAACCACATGATGGGTCAAAAATATTTCATTTCATAGTAAGCGGGTTCGGATAATTGGTTCCTCGGTTAATTGAACAAAAATTTGTGCAAATTTTGATGTGCAATTAACCGAAAAATACTGTTTTAGTTCCGTTCCAGAACTTGCAAGAATCACAATCATCTGTGACGAGTGAAGAACTTATCCAAGTCCCTCCACCATAGTAAGGAGGGTATATTAATTTTGTCATTCCGTTTGCAACTCATCGAAATATTCATTTCCGACCCTATAAAGTTATTCTTGATCAGGGTAAAATTCTAAAACGATCTTGCCATGTTCGTCTATCTGTTGTAATCACACTTTTTTCGTGATAAGTAAATGTTGACTATAATTTTCTTGTTTGAGTTTTTTGTATTGAACAAAGCCAAACATACATATGGGCAATATTGCCAATTTTTTAATATTCCATTTACAAAAAATCAGCTTTTTTGTTTTTGTGGCACATCAATGATTTTTGGTACACATATAGAGAAAAATGTTCTGACACCGAAACAATTCGCGATCAAATTTTTGGTTGATGCGCGCAAAAGTTATCGAGGTTTTAATTTTGGGCATAAGAAAAAAATCTTAAAATTACGCCGTTTATTATATTGACCAAAAACGTTGATATACAGTGACTCCATCGCATAATCGGACAAGAATTTGAGTGATATGAATATGCTCAAAACTAAAGTAAAATAGCAAATATTTGAGTTATTTTTTGCTTTAATGTACATTATACTCTCTCATTTTACAGAATAATAATATAAAACAATTGTTGTCTTCTTAATAACGGTAAATTTTTATTGAAAAGAATATTTACTTCATTTATTGTGCTCAAAGCATAATCGGACAAACAAACACAATGAATCAGTAAGTACGGTTAGTTTACCAAAAATATATTTCAAGATGTATTCTTGTCACATTTAGTCATAAATTGCATATGGTAACAGGCAGATGGAGTTTTTACAAAATATTTTTTAATGGCTCCGAACGGAAAACACTCTTCTGTTGAAATAAGGCAGTTAATTGTAAAATTGAATTTTGAAGGGAAAACGGTGCGAGAAATGGCTGAATTGGTAGGAAGAAGCAAATCTACTGTCCAAGACATCACCAAGAGGTTCCGTAATGAGGGTAGATTAGAAAATAAAAGCCGAAAAGGACAAGGGAAAATGTTAAATGACAGAGAAGAACGCTATATAGTGAAGGAAACTAAAAATATCCTTTTAAACCTGCAAAAGATTTAAAAATATTGTTGAAGACCAGCAGTGGAAAAGATGTTTGTCTTAACACAGTTCGTAATACATTGAATAAATATAATTACCATGGCAGAATTGTTAGAAAAAAAAACATTTATTAGCCCCCAAAATAAGAAAAGGCGAAGATTTTTGGAATAAGGTAATTTGGTATATATGTATATTAACCCTTTGAGCCCCGAATTTTTTTCCGAAAACTTAGAACAAATTTCTGTTCACAGATTTAATGCAACTATCCTAAATAGGATATGCACAAAATTTGACATTGATATATCCTTGCATTCGGGAGATACAGTACATTCTTTCGAAAAAAATAAAGTCCAATATCAAGAAAACCAAATGCAAAATCGTCAGAAAAATCATTTTAAATTATTCTCTATATTCAATTTTACAGGAATCAAAAATAATTCTGAGGGTAGAATTTGTACAATTCGAATACGAAGCGATTTAAATAATTTGGACTGTATACACAAATTAGTACTGTACACAAATTAACCCTCTTGTCTATATTGAAAATCTCATAACTTTACCAAAATTTTGAATTTTTTCGATTTTTCTTTTGATATGTG